CCTTTACCGGTGGAATCTGCTTCTGTCTCCGGGTAGATAGTGTCAGAATAGAGCTGACTTCTCAGACACCCTGCTGGTATCGGAGAATGGCTTGTTGGTGTGGCGAAGCCTCCATCATTTGGAAGATTGGAATTGGGTCCAGGAACCCTTTGCAGATGCTAAAAATCCTGCGATGCACTGGGGACTGCCCTGCACAATGGATTGTCCTGCCTGAAATGCCAACAGTGCACTTGTTGAGAAATACTGGCCTTCCCAAACTTCAGTCCTTTGGGTTCTCCTTGTACAGTTTTTGCCATATCTTCATATTACCTGTCCCACTAATTTAATGCTTTTATTGAAATTTACTTTTTATTTTAAAACTTACTTTTCTTTTTTGTCATTTTATATCTGTTTTTTAATTTACTTATCTTAATCCTTGCAATCATGGGTTTGAAATGCTATTTATGCTTTTCTAATCGTGTTAAAATAGATACATGACTGTTCTAATACAGAATGTTCACCCAGGTCCCACCTGACATCATCTTGCACGCCACTAGTGGTATGCACATCAGTCTTTGAGAAGCAGTGGCCAGATGGTCACAGTGGGTTAATTTATAGCTTGACCTGATTTTATGCAGTATGCCCTTGGGAGCTGACACTAAAGCCTGAGGACTCTCATTTTTAAGTAACTTCATATTCAGCAGAATTCACAAGCTGAAAGGGCCTCGTGAGGATTCTTTTCCAGTTAGAAGTCAGACGGCACAAACAGCTGTTATTGTCTCTTTACGTGTGTACAGATCACCCTGAAAGAGGTAGGTTTGCTCTTGGCTGGGTAGTACTTACATGCCAGTTATCTTTGCTCCAGTCTGTGTCCTAAGACTGGTGGCCATCACCCAGTTATGTGGCAGTCTTCACAAGGGAAATGTGACCCTGTAATGTGGTAGAATGAGAGCAAATACTGTCCTCACTTCCAAACAATTGGCTCAAAGCATGTATTGCATTAATAGTTGGCCAGGAGTTAGAATGATGACAGAGTGTAGCAGGATCACAGATGCGTGCTCCCCACCACCCGATGAACTGAACCAAAAAGCAGTTACAAACAAGACATTCGCCAGCAGCAACCAAACAAACAAAAAAACTGATCACAACTTTATGCCATGCACTTTGAAAAGTGGCAGACAAGGTAGAGACACCCGACTCTGACCCCTCAGAAGCAATACTGGGACAGGAAGGGGAGGGGACAGAATCCTGAGGCTTCCTCCTAATGTAGGTCAGTATGGAGAGAAGCTGGTTGAGGAGGTGAGTAGACAGGCTTGGTCAATGTCAGGAAGCACGCTTAGCAGAGGCAGGAAGGCAGCCCGGAGCTGTGCTGAGTTACGGAGAAAGGAACCAGAGGAGTGAGTGCGCCCTGGCTTGGCAGAGCGGGATCTGGTATGACATTTAATTAGCTTCCAAAAGAGAGGGCAGCACATAGGACCCCAGCAGGGGCAGGCCAAGTGAGTCCTACTGCTCCTCCACGGCAGAATACTGCGGGGAAAGCAGCAGCCAGCCTCCAATTGGGGCTGAGAGGGAGAAAGACCACTGGTCCCCTCCAAAGTGAGCCGAATGTCAAGGCTACATCAACTTACTTAGAGAGTGAAGAGAAGTTCTGGATGGAGATACTCGTGTTAAGTATGAGCAAGACGAAGACAAGCGTCATCACAGCTGGGCACAACCGCTACGGCAGAGGAATGAAAGAAAGGAACATGCTTGCAAAAAGTAAACGTACAGCCCATGTGGTCTGAGAGAAAACCCAATCCACGAAAACTCGACCTCACAAGTTTTTCATGCTGTAGAAGAGGTCAGCAGCAATTCAGTAGAAACAAAAACTCAATGTAGTTATGATAAAACACCGAGATTCTTTTTAATTTTTTTTTCCCAAAAGTGTACTGTTCAGTAGTGTTAAGTACTTTCACATTGTTGTGCAACCGACCTCCAGAGCACTTTTCATCTTGTGAAACTGAAACTTTGTACCCGTTAAAGAACCACTCCCCCTGCCCCCCTCCCACAGCCCCTGGCAGCCATCATTCTTCTTTCCGTCTCAATGAATTTGACTACTCGAGGTACCTCATGAGTGGAATCATAGAGTATTTGTCCTTTTGTGACTGGCTTATTTCCCTTAGCGTAGTGTCCCCAAGGTTCATCCATGTTGTAGCATGGGGCAGAATTTTTTTCCTTTTTAAGGCTGAGTAGTATTCTAGTGTATCATATACCACATTTTGTTTATTCATTCATCCCTTGCTAGACACTTGGGTTGCTTCCACTTTTTGACGATTGTGAACAATGCAGCTAAGAACATGGATGTACAGATATCTCTTTGAGTCATTGGTTTTAATTCTTTTGGATATATAACTCAGAAGTAGAACTGCTGGATCATATGGTAGTTCTATTTTTAATTTTTTGAGGAACCGCCATCCTGTTTTCCATAGTAGCTGTACCATTTTACATTCCCGCCAACAGTGCACAGGGCTTCCAGTTTCTCCACATCCTCACCAATACTCGTTATTTTCTATTTTTTTGATGGTAGTCATCCTAATGGATGTGAGGTAGAATGGGATTTTTAAAAGATAGATTAAAGAGCCAAGAAAAGAGATTGAGAACAAAAACACGATACAAGATTTGAACCAGAAAAAAACCAAAACAGGGGCCGGCCCAGTGGTGCAGCGGTTAAGTTCGCACGTTCCACTTTGGCGGCCTGGGGTTCGCAGGTTCGGATCCCAGGTGCGGACATGGCACTGCTTGGCAAGCCATCCTGTGGCAGGCATCCCACATATAAAGTAGAGGAAGATGGGCATGGATGTTAGCTCAGGGCCAGTCTTCCTCAGCAAAAAGAGGAGGATTGGCAACAGATGTTAGCTTAGGGCTAATCTTCCTCAAAAAAACAAACATACAAACAAACAAAATAGAGGAAGATTGGCACAGACTTTAACCCAGAGACAGTCTTCCACACACGTGCGCGCGCGCGTGCACACACACACACACAAGTAACAACAAAACAACACCGGTGAACCTTCAAACAGTTACAATGTAGTTTTAAGACTAAACAACTGGGTGGAGCAGGGATTATTGTTACAGACGCATATAAAGGTTATGCCCCCTCCAAAATGCAAATGATATAAGCAACGAAAATCAAGGAGTGTGAAGAAAGAGAGGAGAAATATAAAGTGCTAATTAGAGCATTAATGTGAAAACATGTCATTTACCTCTTAAATTTTCATAAACTTTTCCTCAGTGTTAAATCCTTCGTGTTGGAATGTGTTTGGGTTTTTTTTTAAGTATTTAAGTGCATGTCAGAAAGCCATTTAGTTTCACTTCTGCTTCTTTTTCTTCTGTTATATTCAAGCAAATTTAAATAATTCTTATTAGAAAAAAGCTATTATATTATCCTTCTACCAGGATATGTGCATAAAGAGATGCCCAGAACAAAAGTCACCAACTGTAAATGCAGTGGTGGGATATTGGATGATTTTTTTCTTCTTTGTACTTTTTTGCATCTTTTGAATTTTTTTAATGAGTCCATATTTTTATAAAAGCCATAAAATCATTATTGTTAATATAAAATATTGGTCAGAAGTATTATCATTATTTTAATTGCTTCTTAGTCATTTTTAAAAAATTGCAGTCTTGACAAACACCAGAAAGAGTCCTTGACAATATTTTTCCTACTCACGCCTAAAGTATTGGCCACTGCCTGCAGGCCAAAGGCACGTGCAGTGGAAAATATCAGCTCTTCTAATAAGATGCCTTTCGCCTTCTTATTAAATTCATAAATCAAAACAGTGGGCTGGTGAGTGTGAAGTGGGATTGACCCAAATTCCTGTGATGCTAGTGACAGAAAGTGTAGTACAATCTGCTATCAAACAGACGTCTGAACCAGGAGTGTGAAACCTCATTCTAGTCCTGGCCTAACCAATAACCAGCACCATAATTTTGGATGTTGGGAGTCCTTCTCAATATCTACACTTTGCTATGGTGAACTATTTTCACTTCCTTGAACGTGCCATGTTCTCCTGCCTCAGGACCTTTACACATGCAGTTCCTTCTACACAGGGCATACTTTCTTTGCTTTGCCTTCACTGGGCTCCTTCTTCCCATGGTCAGGGCTTACTCTTTGCTCTGGAAGGCCTTCTGTGTGATCAGTGGCACTTCTCATTGGATATGCTTGGCACATCTATAGTCACTCACTCAATGTCAGACTTCCTCAGCAGACTGGCCCTGGGGAGACTGGAATCTGGTTTAGGAAGTGCAAGGTCAGGTTCTCTCATCACCCCTCCACAGCACATGCTTTCTCTTCCTCCTCTGGGCTCTGCCAGGAGCCATAACTCTCCTCCTGTGGCCTGTGCTGAACAATGAACTCAGGCTTTCCTCTCTTCCTGCTACCTCATGGCCTCTGAGTTTTATTTTCTCTCAGCGGGCCTCTTGGCTCCTGCTTCTGTGAGAAACTGCAACTTTTCTTGGGAAGGTTCAAGTTTATCAGGAGGGAGTAGCTGTTCTGTTTGGCCCGTTACCCTCTAGCCCTAGGCATTCCTGCAGGAGAGGGCATCACCCTGCGCCCACAGGCCAGTGCCGAGGGAAATGGGGCCCACACAGGCATCCTTCAGCTCCCCCAGAACCCCGCTGGGCCTCTCTGGTAGAAGAGAGGAAGGGAAAAAAGCATGTCGCAAAGCAGTATGCACAATCTAATCCTAAATGTTTTATATGTCAACGACTGAGAGGAAATGGATCAGATTACTAGCAATGGGTTTATCTAATGGGATTTCTAGTTATTTTTATGTTCTTCTGTAATGAACATTTTCATAGATGCTAAATGGTATTTTTAAGTCCCTATATATGACTTTGTACTGAGCAGCCCCGAAGAAGTCTAAGAAAAGCTGGCCCCTGCCATTTGGAAGTGCTGGATCATTCTCCCCATGTTTTTCATTTCTGTCCCCATCTGATGTGCTCGCTGGCTCTTTTCACATCCGTGTCCTTCTCCTCCCCAGATGACCAGATGACTGGAATCCCCCCGCACGTCCTCAACAGCTCCCCGTCGGACCGGCAGATTAACCAGCTGGCCCAGAGGCTGGGCCCTGAGTGGGAGCCCGTGGTGCTGTCTCTGGGTCTGTCACAGACGGACATCTACCGCTGTAAGGCCAACCACCCCCACAACGTGCAGTCGCAGATGGTGGAGGCCTTCGTCCGCTGGAGGCAGCGGTACGGGAAGCAGGCCACCTTCCGGAGCTTGCACAGGGCCCTCCAAGCCGTGGAGGTGGACCCTTCCGTGCTCCGGTACATGTTGGAATGATGGTGCCTCCGTGGATCCACTGGGGTGTGGCTCCCCGAGTCCGGTGTGCCGAATTCTGCCTTTCACCGGGGCAGGTAGTTTCGGGGGAGGGGAGTTTGCGCTTTTCTTTTTAATGATTCTTAAATGAAAGGAGAAAATAGGATTTCCACTTGACATTACTTGAAAGATCACATTTCTCAGTAGATCTCCTACATTGGCTTGACAACTCGTTGTTTTTAATTGCTCGAAGATTGCATTATTTTAATTGTGCCGATTTTAATTGTGTGGTTGCCTTTTAATAGACTGATAAATCATAGTGGCTCAAAAAAAAAGTTCCGCGTTATCACATTACATGCAGGTCTCCTATATATAAAACATCCACTTTTAGGTTTCCTGGGAATTGAACTGTAGACTTTGCTATTAATAATGATGATGATAATAAAAGGTGAATTACTATATATAATGTGGCCCTTTCATGAGAAAGTATTGTTTGTTTGTTTTTTCTCATTTTTGTATGGCACAGATTAAGGGTGTAAAATTACAGTAGTCATTTCTTGGGAACAGAATTGATAGTCACAGCGAAATGGTTACTTTCTCCAGTTAAAAGAATAGCACAGGCAGGGTGTCTGCATTAAATTTAAGATACTAAAGCTTCCTACAAAGGCCAGTTCAAGTACCAGCATGCATACCTGAGCCCTTCATCTTTAAAAGATTGCTTAAGAAAATCCTGTGTTTGTATAAAGGATTTACTCGGGGACAAAAGGGGGTGTGGTCTCTCTGTTGGAACCTCGATGACTGAGGTATGTGCTCCTAAGAAGTATGATTTAGTCTCCTGTCTTTGTGTTAAGAGCACATGGTATTTGTCAAATGCTTTACTGTTTTCAAGGCTTTCCATATAAGTGATCTCATCTGGACCTCACAAAAGTCCTATAAAGTAGTTGGGCCAGAGAGGTGAGCCTCCTTCTGTGGAGAGGTTAAGTAATTTGCTTGGGGCGAATGAGCCAGAATGTGTGTCTTGGGCGCACTGCTCCTGTGTGTGCTTTCCAATGCTCCATGCTGCTTCCCTTCCTCTCTCTTCCGTGCTGGTGCCAGAAGCTCGAGTCCTGCTCTTCTCCTGCGGGCAGCATCCCCTCGGACGAGTTACTTCACTTCTCTAAGCCTCAGTTTCCTCATTTGTAGAATGAGGAAATGATTGTCCCCACCGCCAAGATTTTTGATGACTAAGGGAGGAACGTCTGCCAAGGGCCTCCTGGTGCCTAGCCCGTGCTCAGCTCTTGGGAAATGGCAGCTGTAAATTTGCTGCGGCTGCTGAACGTGGATGCAGTTCACAGACACAGCTGAGGAGTGGCTGAAGCTGAGGCGCTGTAGGAGGAGGTGCTGTTACCAGGTTACCTGCTACACTTAAACGTGATGCGATTTATTAGCTCTGCAATGGGTCCAATCAAGAGGGGCAGGTGAACATTCCCAATCTATGATCTGTCTGTCTGAATAATTGGAGAGTCTATTTCCTAATCCTAACCTAACTCAGGATTTCTCAAAGGGAAAGAGTTATGCTTTTTACCTCTCTCCATTCCGAGGAGAAGTATATAGAGTGGTAGCGTTGAACATGAAGTGGGTGCTCAAAAAGATGACAGTGGTGTGTTGACAACATCCTTTCAGATGTCTGGTAACCATATTCCCTTTACTGAAAAAGATCAGTTATTTCATGGTTCAGCAAACCGTTCAGAAGGATGGTCTACTGGCCTCATCTGTTTCAATTTTCCATTTTGCAGCCCAGCCATTAATTCCTTATCCTGTAAAGTTCTCATATTCTTGGCCCTGTCACTGTGCCCAGTGACAGACTGTACTTCTACAGCATCTTCAATAAACTGCCTGTCATTTTGAACCTTGGACTTGTCACATTGCTATTCATCCCCCTGGGTTTGCTAACAGACAGTTGCTTTGGCTTTTGTTCTCGTTTATGGATGAGTGAGTGTAGCTGGGCTCTGCTGCGTCTGACTAGGTGGCATTAGAAGTGGGTCTGATGATTAGCTGGGTCATCTTCCCGCCATTTGGAAAGAATCGGTCATGCACGAAGAGACTTCTGTGCTCTGTCAGCAGTGAAGGACAATTCGTGACAAACTGGCCCATGATGGGCTGCGGGGGCCGTTAGAGAGCTCTGACTTGCCACCCTTAATGAGCAGGGTGTCTCCACCATCAAATGGCAGCCGCACCTGCTTGGACCCGCTCACATCCTTACAGAAGATTTGCAGAACGGAAGAACAGGGCATCCAAATCACTGCCTCATTTCTACCTCTGGCTCTGAAGAGTGATGCTACCTGGCGTCTGCCTCCCTCCCGAGAGAATCTGCCGGGTGATGTGCCTTCAAGGAGTCTGTGTGTTTTTGCATGGGAGAAGATTCCAGAGATTGCCTACCTCCAATAAAATTCTGAATCAGTGCAACGAGATGGCATTTGCAAGCAGTGACGAAAAACAAAAAGGATAAACAGTCTTGCTCCACTTTGGTTTGGGGGGTGTGTGTGTGTATGTGTGTGCATTCATGCACATGCATAGATAAGAACCCTAACTTTTTAAAAACTATAACTTTTATTTTATCAGTACAACAATAGTACATGTTTGTTATAGCAGTTTGAAAAAAATCCTAATAAGAAGAAAAAAATAAGAAGTCCCCCTATTGCAATTTTTTAAAGATAATCACTGGTGCACCCCAGTTTTGGTCTCTGTCGTCCAGTTACTTTCCTCTGGCTGCATATTCTCTTCATAACAAAAGTGGGATTGTATCATGCATGCTGTTTTACAATTGGCTTCTTTTATTTAACATGTAACTATCTTTCTATGTCATTAAATATTTTTCTATACTAGTGATTTTCAATGTCTTTTGTGTTTGGAGCACAATTTCAAGTCCTTTAATTTTTGGCAGCACATTTGAAGAAATTAAAAGACACTAACTGCTAAGTGTAACAATGTCTTTAGTTGTCAAAACATCCACGGTTATCCCACTGTTTGCTCATTCCCCCTTAGAGCCATGTCGTTACTTGAGTTGAGCTGTTTACCGCCCCCACTGTGCGCTCTTAGATCCTCAAAAAGCAAAGTTGAGCACATTCCCTTAAACGTGCTGGGCTTTATTCTGAGCTTTTTGTGTCTTCCTTTCAGCAAGATGCCCTCTCCACTGACTGTGTGATCCACTCAGCTCAGTGTTCCATTTCTAAAGGCTGTGTGTGCTGGGGGGGGGGGGGGGGGGGGGGCAGTAATTGTACTTGTTGATCTAAACTTGGTAGCATCACACCGCATTTGACGGATCTGTGTGTGGCTGCTGACCTATGCCGTCGTTTTCAGTGGTGGCGCACCTTTCTGTATATGCATGTGCTATTACTTGTTAGCGCTTGCCTGGTACACTGAGTGGATCTTTGTGTGGTTTTGGCTTTTTCACTATTATAAACAGTGATGCAAGAAAGGTCCTTTTTGTTAAATCTTTATATTCACCAGAGGTCGTAATGAACTGGATCCCTCTTTTGTTCAGCTCCAAACATATTTAAATTTTGTTGTCAATTAACTTTTATTATACAGCAAACCACCTCAAAATGTATTGGCTTAAAACTTAGCTCACAATTCCAGAAGCCAACTAGATTGTTCTTTTGGTCCAAGCCGACTCAGCTGATCTCAGCTGGGCTCTTGTGCATCTGTGGTCAGCTGGTGGGCTGGCTGAGGCTGCATGATCTAGGATGGCCTCTCTCACACATCTGGCAAGTGGCATGCTGTTGCCTGGGGCAACAGAGGTGTCTAGGTCACACGCCTCTACCCGTCAGGTTTGCCCAGCTCTCTTCAGTTAGCAGTGGTAGCAGGGACCCAAGAGCAGCAAGAGGGCAAGTCTCAGTATGCAAACACTTTTCTGGCCTTGGTTTGTATCCCTTTTGCTAATATCCTGTTGGCCAAAGCGACTCCCAAGGCTAGCCCAGAGGCACTGTGCGGGAAGCTCTACCCAAGGGCATGGAAAAAGGGAGGGGAATGATTTGGGTTCATTTCTTGCAATCTACCATAGCTAATATTTTAAATTTGAGATTTCTGAGCCGCATTGAAAAATGAAGTTTAGCTGCTCTGGATCTCGGTTGTCGCATTGTAGTAGTGGGCAGGCCCATTCCAGCCTGCCACCATCCCCACCACGGACAGGCGCACCTTACCAGGCGTACCCCTCACCCGGCTCCTCTGCCTGCTGCATTACCTGCTCAGCCCCCACACAGATTTACGTTTGTGGCCTCCAGGCACATAGCCATGAAGATTCTTAGGATAAACTCCTGGAAGCGGAATTGCCTGGTTTAAAGTTGCACTCGTTTTTCAAAACTTTGACTTCCTAAGACTTTTTAAAAATTATTTTAAAAACTACTTTCACTCGAGCAAAATATAGGGGATTGGTTTCAAATGCCAGTTAGGCCCCATGACTCAATGGCCCACCATGAAAGTTGTTGCTGGGGCACGTACACACAAAAGCACCTGAGGCAGCGGGATGAGTCCATCTTCATCCTTTCTCTGGGGTACCACCACTACCCAGGAGTACTAGTTTTGGACAGAGACTCCCCTCACTCAATTATTGAGCAGACACTTATTGAGGAGCTACTGTAAACCAGGGGAAAAGATGACCAATAAATCCACAATTGCTGTCCTCCAGGAATTCACTGTTGGGCCAAAAAGTCAGAACTCTAACCACAATGTGATGCCCGAGGTCCATGCCTAAACACTGAATCTATGAGAACACAGAAGAGAAATGACTCACTCCCCCTTCTTCAGAGGTGGGAGACATGGGGATGCTCAGCTGAGGCCCCCTCACTTGGATGAGTTCCTCCACCTTTCCGTGCCAGTTTCCTCATATGTAAAATGTGTACAATAACAGTACCCACCTTAGCTTACAGTGAGGATCCCACGAGATAAAAGATATAACCTGCGTAGAACAGTGCCTGGCACAGAAAAAATGTTTTGCTAAATCATTGAGCTGAATTATTCTAGCTATGAGGATTTTTCTGACATTCTTCACCCCAGCAGGGCCCTGAGAAGTGTAAGCATCAGAATCACCTCCTCCTGTTGTGATGTGTGGTTTGGAAATAGAAAGTGCATGGTATGAAACTGGTAGGCACACTTAAGAGCATGTTCAGAATTGGGATGAGATTCTGATCTAACACTTGGCCATCATTAAATTAATCCCTGCAGTCATCGAACAAATTCTTGCTGATTGCACAACAATCAGCGAGCAACCAATTTGTGCAAGCTACCAGAGATACAAGAGAGACAGGACGTAGTCCCTGCCCTGTAGGACCTCAGCCTCTTGGGGAGATAGACATAACAGCCACTATTACGATACTCTTTGACCAACACGGAAGAGGGAGCAGTTAAGTTGGCCACAGAGGAGGTGACACCTCAGCTGAGGTTTTGTAAGTTCTACCCAAGTTAGTCCATTGGTCTTTTTGGGGGACATTAATGCATATGGACACCAGAATTCCACTTAATTTATTTTACATCCCATTTGCCAAATGGCGCTTCTTGCTGTGGATCTACAAGATGTCTCCAAGATGCTATCTCAAAGCAATTTAGAAACTAAGAGAATCGTGTTGATAAACCAAGTGGCCAATTTTATCCCTTTGTATATGTCAAGACATGGGTGACACTGAGAAGTGTGTGGTTTATTTATCCACAGTGAAGTCAGATCAGGCTTCAGATTTTAGATATCAGGCATATTTTGAGATTCTTCTTTGTGCCATCTCTAGCCCTCAGTTCCTCCTCTAAAAGCCCCACAGATTAAAATTAGATGTGCTGGCATGCAGGGAATGTTTTTAATGTCATAACTGCCTGTTTACTTCTCAGAACTGTAAACAGAGCTTAGAAGAACAGGGACGTCTATCTTGTTGGCATTTACTGTTTTTATAGGAAAATTACAGTCTCACAAAGACACAGTTCAGTGAGCCAATTAAGCCTTGTCTGTTAAAATTATGCAAAATATATGGCAATAATTCTGAAAGCTATTGTTATTTCAAGACATAGACCGTGAAATCTAGGTTTGAGTACTCAAAAAAACGGACCCAACGTCTTGTTAATACTCATACATTTCCATTTCATTTTCACATTCTATCTCTAGCCAGTGCTGTTTTTGGTGTCAAATTATGTTCTTAAAGGATAATATTTGTGGAAAATATCTGCTATGGTCTGAATGTTTGTGTCCCTCCAAAATTCATATGTTGAAATCCTAACCCCCAAAGGTGAGGGTGTAAGGAGATGGGGCCTTTGGGAGATGATTAGGTCATAAGGGTGGAGCCCCCATAAGAGACCCCACAGGGCTCCCTATCCCCTTCCACAATGTGAGGCCGCAGCGAGAAGGCTCCAGCTATGAACCAGAAGAGGGCCTTCACCAGAACGTGACCATGCGGGTGCCTTGATCTTGAACTTCCCAGCCTCCAGAACCGTGAGCATTAAGTTTTTGTTGTCTATAAGACACCTAGGCTTGTTAGAGCAGCCCAAACAGACTAAGACAATATCAAATGGGTTGGATTTGATCAAATAATGACTAGTCTTTCCCTTGGTGGCATATAACTTCCCTTTTGTCAACTTCTAGGAGATGAGTTTATTTAATCCAGGACTTTGCTGATACCAGGGTCTTTGGCATGCCTTATCAGCTCATTGCTAATCCCAGGAGAACACTGAGTGCCTACAAATGAAGTAAGTAAGCCCATTCATGGACTGGTGGTGAACTTGGTGCTCCTAGTAGTGTCATGGCCAAGGATGAGGGGGATCTGTCTAGGGAATATTTGTTGGAAGCTCCAGAATATCTGTAATATACAGTGCTGCTTGTCCATTGAGGGTCACAGATCCCTCTAAGAATGTGAAAAGGAGGTGGAAGCATTCTTTAGAAAAATGCACATGTGCACACACACACGCCCATACAACATTTGGCACTTAATTTTTAGGGGATCCCCCTATACCTGAATCCAATTCACTCACCCTAAGAATTGTAAGTCTCTAGGTCATAGATGGGCCCCTGACACCAGACTTCATCAGCATCTAGGCCTGTATTGTATTTGTGGAGTATTTTGAGTCCTTGTGTCCAAGAGGATGGAGCTAAGAGCTTCTGTTGCATTGCGCTAGGACATACATCCTGGTATGAAGAGCTGACCAAGGTGTTGGAATAAAGGTGAAGCCATTTGTCTAAATGCTGATCTTTATCCATCTGATCACAGATCTTCTGCCCTATGAGAAGGCAAGCTGGTCACCCTCTTGGACCCACCTCTTAGAAAGATAAGAGCTTACAGACCTGCAATCTACAGCAATCTCTAGCTTCTAGGAGCTTCCTGCCTCCAACCTATCTCTTTAGAACCAGGGATTCTAGACGAGGAAGAACTGAGACTTTTGTGCCCAGCACATTAGGGATAGTTGATTTCAAGGGGGAAATTATACAGAGAGCCACTTCTACTTTATGTACTGGGAAATTGTTTCCAACAATATCTTTTTTGTCCAACCATCTGCTTGAATCTAGTTTCTGTCAGCCTCTGGAAGTAGTAATTATTCCCTGCTCTGAAGCTGAGCTCTCTGCTGAGAGAGCGGACCCTTTGGTTGTCTGTTTTCTATTGTCAAGAGTTCTTTTGTCACTTACTATTGTCAGCTGCAGATTTTCCAACAACACTATCTTTGAGGCTAAAAATAAACCCTCCCAACACAAATCCACTCTTTATGAAAGAGTGAAAGACAAGATACACCAGTCAATTATGGATATAATTTTATTCAGGCCATTGCAATTGGGAGAACATTTATCGGTGAAGAATGTCTCAAGGGAAAGGATGACCCTTGGGTTTTATCGAGACAAGTAAACAAGGGAGTCATCCAC